ACTGGCATAGCCTTATAATGACCGATGGAGGAAGCACCGTCGTATTGCTTCCACCTCCCTCGTCTCTCGTGCTGTCGATGGTTATAACCACGTCCTCGATTACGAAGCTACGGTCCTCATCAAGGACCTGATGCGCCATGGGAATCTCGGCAAGTCTCCCGTCAACCCTCGTAAGTTAATGTTCTCGCTCTCCTCTTCGTAACTTGTTAACTCAACCTACTCTCGCAGAACCGCATGCTGGACGATGCAGTTTGAACAATATGTTGACGGTCGCATTTGGCATGCGTACTGACACAATCGAGCACCCATTGGTCGCTAAAGCTCTCAGACTCTCTCGAGAGTTCATGAACTGCACTGGGCCGTTGTCCAACTTGACTGACTTCGTTCCCCTCCTCCAAAAGGTCCCTGGAAATTACATGATTAGCAGAGCACAGCAACTTCACAAGGATTTGGTCGATACTTACGGTGGAATGATTTTAGAGATTGAGGCTCGTATGAATGCTGGGGAGAAGGTTCCTGATTGTCTGGTCAAGCATCTCATCGAGATCAAGGAGGAAGAACAACTTGACCATCTCGATATGGCTATTCTCTGCTCTGCATTCATGATCGGAGGTGTCGAGACGGTGAGCGCGACATTCACCTAATATCATGGACCTCCTCCAAGCTTATCGAGTTTTTACAGACCGCTTCTATCATGCAGTGGTTCTCAGCTTTGATCCCCGCCTACCCCGAGATTCAGAAGAAAGCTCAAGAAGAGCTCGACCGCGTAGTCGGCCGTGACCGTCTTCCAACTATCGAAGACGAGAAAAACCTGCCATACATCCACGCGATCATCAAGGAAGTCGAACGTTGCCACAACCCATTCTGGCTCGGAACTCCGCACGTTAACAATGCTGATTTCACCTACCGCGGACAATTTATCCCCAAGAACACCGTCCTCGTTTTGAACACTTACACCATGCACCACGATCCAGCCAGACACCCCGAGCCTATGAAATTCAACCCGGAGCGATATGTCAAGGACTCTACGCTCTCCTCCGAGTCTGCCAACCTTGCGAATCCATATGAACGTGATCACTGGATGTTTGGTGTCGGGTGAGCGGTATTCCCCAAACCCTCTCGTGTTACTGCTGCGTCGTTGATCTGAAGTCCATTATCGTCCTTTCTAGCCGTCGTATCTGCCCTGGAATGTGGGTGGCAGAACGTGAAATTTTCTTGGTGATTGCCCGACTGCTGTGGGCATTCGACATGAAGGAAATACCGGGTGAGCCTATTGATCTGAAAGAGTACGATGGTCTTTCAGGTCGATCGCCCGTTCCCTTCCGCATTAAGATGATTCCTCGTCATGAGAAAGTGATCGAGGTATTGGACCGCAGTTGAACGAGTACCGAAAACAACTGTAGGATCGGTTTTTAGAATTTACCCAAAAGGTTTCTACATACTTGGCTACACTACATGTATATTTTACTACACATTCATTTTTTCTTCTTTGTTTTGTATCTCTGAAACTAATAGCATTTGCTCGTATTTCCTCCATCTCACGATGACTCGAATCAACAGGCAACTCAAGCCAAACAACATGTTCAATTATTAAGTAAGTGTTCCACTTGTCACGTACCAGCTCGTATTTCATTCATTTCGCGTCATGTACTAGATGACTCGCATCGGCAGGCAACTGAGGCCAAAAGGCACATTCAATGATCCTGAAAAGAAGTATACATAGCGACTTGAGGTCGTGTGTTAGGTCGCAGAGATTACGGAAGTTTGGGTACGCAAGCGTGGTGCTCTGTTGCAAGGTATCTGACTGAACACTGAAGAAAAATATCAACTCACCGATGCTCAGTGCTCTCATGCCAGTTCTGTTTTCGGATTATAGATTGACTTGTACCGGCATGTTATATGTATTAGATACATAAAGCAGATGTCCCGGTGCAGAATATCTGAATAGTGTTGTCTCTTATTTTCTTGCCTTCTGCTGTGAAAGATATGGTAAAATTTATAATCATGGACAATAATAACTGGGCTGTAAATATATACAAGAGAAGGTTCCTGAAACGTTGTATTGTACAGTCAATCACTGAGAATAACAAACAAAAAAAAGGAAACCTGGATACACACCAGAATGGGGATCCCATGAGCCTAACTCTTAATTTTTCATTTTTCATTTTAGGTAAAATCAGAACTTCCTACAGTTCTAGCAAGTAGAACAGTCTGAAAAGATAGTGCAGACAATGGCTCACACCACATAAAACACTGTGTAATCTCAACATGGTGTTTGCCACAATCCTGATTGATTACTTACCGGTGATGGGTCCAAGAATCTGCCTATTTTTTGGTCTTCTTTCACTTTTACAGAGATCAGGTTTGGTTCTTTGGGGGGGGGGGGGGGGGGGTATGATCACTCTCTTGTAAATATTTCTAACTACTTTATGCCACAGGAACCAACAACCTCTGATGAAAGTAGCCCATCTTTTTTTTCCAATTTCAGAAATCTCTCATCTGAACTGGATGCATTTCAGAAGCTGGCTATATCAGTCAAGTTTAGCTAATCTGACACTTGGAATAGGGCCGAGTGTGAAATGTCACTCTGGCTATTCCGTTCCAAAGATTCTCGAGTGAAAAGGCTCTTGCAGAAAGGGTAGACCTTTGTTGTTGTAGCCGAGGCAAAAACACTGATGACACTGCTTGCATGCAGCAGCAGTTGGTCTAGACTCTCAAGGTAAGCTTCCACATGTGTTTCCATCTAACATGAAGTCTGCCAGACCCTATGGCAGCATCTCAGGACCTATTATCTTCAGGAGAATCTACTTCACCCACATTTTACTGTGGAGTTTTCCACCACAGACAAGAAATACTCAGTACAAGGGATAGTCAACCTGCCCAGCCATTACTGCGCAATATTTTATATTACTGCGGGATCACTTCACTTAAGATACACGATTACCGCCCGGAGCGACGGTAAGCATTATCGGGTACACCTTTATTATTATTGTTTTCCATTCCCAGCTTCATATGTCTCCCCTCGATCTCGACGATTCCCCTCAAGTATTGTGAATATTCTCAAGATGTTTCTAATGAAGGGAAGGTTGTAGAGGCAAAAAGAGACGGAAACTGAGTGGTAGCAAGTAGTCACGGTGTATCTGGACAGATAATGACCGACAAATCGTGCGTATGATGTAAAAAGAGGAGGGCCGCTTTTCGGTATGACGATTGGGTCATTTAACCTCTTGCATAGGCGCTCCCTGACTGGATGTGTTTCCCATCCTCTATTCCCCACATTCCTTGGCATAATTTAATCACAAACGGTCAATGACAGGGCGAACGACAAAACATGAGTTTTGACGTATCAACCACACTCGTCGTTTCCATCTGTCGCACACGACGTGAAGTTTTGATTGAGATGACTATTCCGGATATACTAACCACTTTAGGGCCGTATTACGACCAGTATGCCTTCCTAGTTCTCTGACCAACAGCCAGACCTGCTGTGCACAAATATTCCTGACCCAGTTCTCGTTCTGGTTCATCAAGATGCCAGCTAGGTTTCTAAGGATTGAACAACAGCACTTTGGTGTCATTCGAAGGATTGAATTACGGCAAACTCCACCAGATTTGAGACGATCTCAAATAGTTCTAGGCGTTCTGCCGATCTATCCTCTTCCTAAACCCATCCCCCCCGGCTGATCAACCTAGCTATCGACCACAAATGGCTCTCTCTATTGGAGGATTCATCGCAGTGATGTTCGTGGTCTCTCTCGTTTTGATATTCATCTTCAGGGGATACTCGCTCATACAACGGAGAAAGGCTATCGAACAGCAAGCGCGCCAGGAGGGGGAGTCTACTAGAGCACCTGCGACTGCGTCTGTGTTGCCAGGTGACATCGGACGAGGTATGACAGGGTTCCTGCCCTTGTTGACTCAAACAGTTTCCCGGGTAACTTCTAACTCGATTTTTTGAACCAGGGAATGTCGAAAATTCTGTTCGCGGCCATTTACCGGGAACGACTCAGGCAGTCATAATTACGCTCCGCCGTCTTGATGAAGGCCCGAGTGTTCCTGCCTATACGTCTGCTAATACGCGACCATTACCGCTGAGAGAGCAAGAGCCGGTTGCTAGGATGGATGCTATGGTTGAGAATAGAAGTAGACCGCCGAGCTATCCAGGCCCTAGTTCAACTTCTCAAGTGACAGAAGCACCGGCCCCAGAGGAAGCTGAGAGGAGGGATGAAAACCAAGGACGAGCAGAGGTTGCATCGGGAAGTTTTGTTCATGCCGCAATGGCATCGTCGCCTCATAGTTCAGGTTCAGGTCTCGGGCCTCAGGTGAACCCGACTGGTACATAGACGCTCTTAGGTAGAGTTTTTAAAAAGTAGAATTCATATTTACCTTACCTTTCTTTCGGACTAGGTACCTCTCTGTATTGTTGTATTCAGATAGTTGCATGGACCTTTGATTTAGTTATCAATGCATAGAACGATTTCTTTTCGAATTTGGAGTATTTGAGGAGGAGGAGTGGCAAAATTGAAACGCTAGGATTGCCTCCCACGAGAATGCAGATTGGTGCAAGTGCGAATGTACAGGAAGTGACTCTTTCAACTTACTGCTCACGCATGCAAAATGCAAAAAAAAATTGTAACATTGGTCACTGACAAAATTCCCAATTTTTCACATTTCAGTACAAAGCATATAATCAAGTATAACTATTATGGTTAATTATAATCTATTATAATCTGGCATAATTCCTATCTACAATTATAAGTAGCCATAAGTATTACCATCTATTATAATCAGCCATAAATCTTATGGGTTCTTGTACTTCATTATAATCAGGGTAATTTGGAGGCAAAAGGATTTCTTTGAAATTCATTACAGAACAATATTGGAGCAAGGGTATATATGGGCAGGAGTGCACAAAGTACTCCCAATGCAACCCACTTCCTATCACAAGTCCAAAAGATAAGGGTATACATAGGTGAAGCTAGCTGTGTTCAAATATTAATGGTCTGATAGCTCAGTTAGTTAAAGCACTTGCCTGAGCAGTTTTAAATCTGCTGAGGTCTAGAGTTCAATTCTCTTTCAGAATTGAAACAACATGACAGCCCATTTTTATGCACCACTATGTCAAGATGCATTGAAGATGATTTATTCCAGGGTGGCAAGGAATTGTACATCCTTGAAGTCAACTCTACCTAAATCCCCCAAAAACTGATGCCTTAAACTAAATTATAGACCCATGGTCTTTTATATGATCTTTCACCCTTCCACACACTCAAAACTGTTATATTGAACCCTTCACAAAGCCCTTCTCTCTGCGAGCCATAATCCCTACACTCAACATTCTTTCCTCTTTTCAGAGTCTAAGCAAGATTGTACTTATTCTAAACATATGCTCTCTTAATCAAGCACAGCTGGAAGAAGAAATCTGTAGATTGGATTATATGCTCCAGACTAAACTCCGATCTTCTCAAATTGTTCTGGAAATTGAAATAATACCAGACAATCCCACTTCCATTGGTTTGGGTAATGATAATACCCCACAAAATGATTGTGAAAAAACGATTAAACCTCTGTTAAAGAGGTGTTCTGCACAGCACCAGCTCGTATTTACACAGAGAAAGAAGTATGCAGAATCACTGATAGGTTTTGGAATCAGGAAACAGTCTTCCTTTGTGGTTTACCTTCTGTGTCTGTGTGGAGGGACATAGACATGCAGGAAGTACTTACATTCAAAGATGAACAGATGGAAATTGTTTGTGATTACTGAATTTGCCCAGAACAACTGCCACAAGTTCCATAACAGTTGTCCTTTTTTGCATGCATTTGATGTTGATCTATTTTTGCCTCACTGCCTCTTCACCCCTATGTTGTTCCCATTTCTATTTTTTCCTTACTGACCGCTTTCAATCACCTTCTTCAATCTCTAATCCATCTGAATACTGAAACCCTGATACAGTCTACAGTTCATGTCTACATCCATATCACCTACTCCCGCATTTTTCAATATTCATGATAACCACATGGCACATGCTAAATGCAAGGTCTTTCAGTTTACATCATTCCTTCCCAGCCATCTTATTCATTGGTCCTCATCTTCCTCCCACCATTCCAGACAAGTGTTCTCCATACTTAGAACTCAAGTATACCATTTTCTCGAAGCGCCACAATCTGGGGAATAAATGATAAAACACCACCCCAATAAAAATAATACCCAACCCCAACTTCAAGTAGGACAGGTGACAGATGAGAGAGTGAGTAGACTGAATTTAAGAGCTTTGGACTCGATCAAGTGACGTTGAAGGTGAATGAGCTTCCCAAGGCTTTGGAAGCAGAGAATTTTGTTCCCGCTGCATTACAATCTGTATGTTCTCATGGTGTGATAGAAAGAGGTAACCAAGAATTTCGGGGCCGCAAGAATTCAAGTCGTGAAAAACGGCCATGACTATGATCAGACATTCAATCAAGGCTACAGTTATGAATTCAATCAAAGATTTTCGTGAGCAAGGGAAGAGAAATTATCACGGATGACAGGGTAAGTGTATACAATGACTGGAACTTAAAAAATACGAACAGTGTCACATAGTTGAAAAGATAAATGAAGAGGTCAGCCGGGCCCAGTCCTTGACAGTGCGTCTAGAGCGGTTGAAGCCATCGTGAGTGCCAATCCGACTGAGATCACTGGGCTTCAAGAGGGCGAAAGTATGTTCTGCCTATGAGTAAATTCAACTTGAATATGTTTCCGTTTTGTAGGACTGGATTCCCCTGTACCTTATTTCTTTTACTTCAGCAGCTCGAACCGCTCACTTTCTTGCCATTCACCACAAGTTCTCATTTATCCCACTTCACTCATAGTCCACTGTTTGATACCGAACAGAAGATACCCAGTACATAAGTGATGAACACCTTGTTTCAAAACGAGCAGGAATAGTTCATAGGAATGGGTTTAGTATCTATCACTGAGTCATACAGAGGAACAAAGGTTCACCGGTCAAATGAATCACTGATCTGTAATTACATTTTCCCCCTCGCCCCGCCCGCAGTACTTTTGACTTTGTACCGAAAACGGGTAAAGGTGTTTCTAAGTTTAGTCGGAGCCTGAAGGGGGAACGTTAAGCTTGAGCGGAGAGGATGCCAGAGCGGGTAGGGATATGTCTGGGGCGTCCCAACTCTCTATAAAAATAAGAGAGCGCGTTAGATACGTGTGATCGTATGCCGTTTCAAGGCCGTTCCAGAATCTTCTGTCTCTGGAGAGGAGGTCAAAGAGGCTTGCGTCCAATTCATATGCACCGCTGATGCGATTCAAGGAGCCTAGCGGCGAAGTGCCCTTGATGGCCTCAAATTCTGATATCAATATCAGGACTAGGTTGGGATTGGTACCGGATACCTAGGAGACTAACCTGTTCTCATCGACTCTCACCTTGTGGGAAGTGCACGCACCCTGAAATAGTACCACTAGATAATCCTGAATGGAGCTTGAGTGAACGACTCATAGTCAATGCAACCTGTATAACAATGGGTACAAAGGAGTCATTAATGATTGTCAGGCCGAATATTACCTTGAAAGCCGCGTTATTTTGAAGAACAGGGACAATTTGGGTGGGCGAGTTTGCATACCATATCATATGAACCCGACTTCTCTGATGGCGGAGATTTAACGATTCTAGAACCTCTTCAATTGATTTTATTAGTGCACAGGTTTGGCTGACCACTATAACGCCAACTCAGCGCAGTACATAGGTCGTCGCGCCAACCCTGGAGAGGTCGGACGTCGAGGGCCCAGGGGCAACACCAGGGAAATTAAAAAACCGACAAATCCAGGAGTGCGACCCCATGCATCACGTTTTTACCCTGATTTCCTGGAGACTGTCATGGCAATTCAAACGTTCAATCATAACGCCAAGGCCCCATGTCCTGGAAAATTGAGAGGATGTCATGCAATTTTAAGCCATGGATTGTCAAGACACCGAATGAAAGTTGGTTGAGGTGCGGAAAGGAGAAAATGATTTCCTGATAGCTAGGCTGCTGTGGTTGCTTCCTCGCGATGGGAGGATAGAGAAAAAGGGAGGACGGCATTACGTATACGTTTTGTGAGCCGGTAAGGAGCCCTGAGCGCTGAGCCTCCTCCTGCATTTGGAAGCTTTTTCCCATCAACATCGCTTCTGAACCGTGATGTATCAAATGTCAGCGTCAGGGCATCACCGACATTTCTAGAGGTTTTATGCAGTGCTCTCACTGGCAGCTCTAGACGTGTTCAACACCTTCTCCAAGGCTGGTCCTGATCTCTTCTCTCTCCTTCACACTCAAGGCCTGCTGGCGGCTCGAGTAATTCCCTTCGTTTTTGCTCGACTAGGATTCCTTTTGTCAGCACGGGTTGCTGAACAATGCGGGTTGTTCCGTTGGCTTTTTTTGCGATGTGAGTGACTTTCTGGAAGGGTTTTTCTCGCACTGACCGTTCGAATGCGACAGAACTTTACGATATGTCGGAGCTTTGAATATAATCTTTCCCTCCACTCCGACGGCTGCTCAAAACAACCCCTATAATTGGGTGCGAGAAGTGAACGACCCGAACACCGTTTGGCTGAGAAAACAAAAGTTGGACGATCTTGTTGGTGCTACTCCATGGTCTGGGGGGTCTGGGGGGCCTGGGGATCCTCCGGAAGAAATGCCCAAGTTGGATCTGACACGGGGAACTGGTAGCGGTGTACTTCATTTCAACAGAGCGGGGTGTGTCTATAACCTATATCTGTTGTCATTGTTAACCATTGATTCTTCCCTTCATTAGTTTGTTCAACGTTGGCGTTTTCTCCAAGCCAGATTACCCAGTTCAGAATGGTAAAATAGTAGCCCCGCCTATTCAGATCATGCTATTCACAGTGAGCGTGAATCCGACTTCCGCTGGTGCCGTTCAGTCGTCAGTAAACACCATCTCCCTCAGCTTTGCCCTCTTCTTTGACTCAATTATACTGGCAGTAGTACTACTTCTTCCCCCGAAGCTATCCCGACTTCAACAAAACCTTCGGTACCAGACAAAGCACAGGGATCACTCAAATCGGCCAACACTGCCCTCATAGTTGGATTGACGCTCGGATTTGCAACCCTCATTGTCATCATCGCTGTTACTCTCTTTTACTTTCGCTACCGACGTCGAAGGATGGCCGATGCGATGCCAATACCATTCCAAGGAAACCGAATGATGCGCGAAGCCGACAGAGAGAGCTACTTGAGCTACGAGAAATGCGACAGCCCTCCTCCCATCCAAACAATCTACTCCGTTCCTAGCGATGGGTCATTTTCCGTCACCAGTCCCATCGCTGCCGCCGCTCGAGATCGAGAACGTAAACGCAACAAGTTTCTATCACTCACGACCATCTCTTCCCTGTCCATCTCGCGTTCGACAACAACAGTAACGAGGAACGGCCACTTGACAGACCGCACAGAGATGCCCTTGCCACCTCTACCCCCTCGAACACGGACAGATCGGCAGATGATGATTGAGGAAAAGATCCAGCTGTTACAGTCGAAGATGATCATGTTGCAGAGTCAGAAGCAGTCAGGTTTGGGTTTACAGAGGTCACCGTTTGGTTCAATTCGCCCCTTACCACCGCTACCTCCCGGTTCTCCCGGTTTTACATCTTTTCTGATGACGCCCAAGCCTCTTTCACCGCTATCTGGTGATGTACAGGTGGAGCTAGAAGGGCTGAAGAAAACGGTTGAGCGAATGAAGGAGTTGCACGAGTCTGATTGGGCACTCGGTCTGACGAATGTTACTCCGGAAGGACTACCTGATTGATGTTAAGCTATCGTCAGTTGAGCTGAAGGCTCGCTCGTGACAGTGTTGCTATTCTTAATTCCCGTGTTGCAGAACCCAAGTGGAACGCACTCGTTTGACGCTATGTTGTACCTATACCCGCTAGCGGCTTTATTATTTCTTTTTTTTGCTCATTTGTGTAAGTCGATAGGGCATGTTAAACTCCAACTTGTATCAAGTATAATTCAATCATGAGAATTTTTATGGTCATTCTCGGTACTCTTGTGATATTTTGACCCACATCAGCGATTATGATGGTGACGACCGTGTATCATTTTC